ACCCATGACCCTAGTTTCCTTCCCACCCAGTCCCACTCCCAGCCTGACTCCATGGCAGGCACTTATCTTCTCTCTCTCTCTCTCTTTCTCTCTCTCTCTCTCTCTCTCTCTCTCTCTCTCTCTCTCTCTCTCCCTCCCCCTCTTTTGGACATTATGGCTTTCCATATAGATACTGAGAGGTTAACATGTTTCTTCCGGGCTGGAGCAATAGCACAGCGGGTGGGGTGTTTGCCTTGCACACAGCCAACATGGCCAACACAGGTTCGATTCCCAGCATCCCATTTGGTCCCCCAAGCACCGCCAGGAGTGATTCCTGAGTGCATGAGCCAGGAGTAACCCCTGAGCATCACCGGGTGTGACCCAAAAATGCAAAAAAAAAAAACCATGTTTCTTCCTTTACCTAATCTCAGCAAGTAGTTTGTATCCAGAGCAACCATTTCCAACTGTCATTTCCATAGAGGTTCCCTCTCTATCCCAACTGCCTTCTACCCCAGCACCTGAGGCAGGCTTCCAACCGTGGACCAATCCTTCTGACTCGTGTTTCTCCTGTCTTTGGGTATTAGTCTCATATTATTTTTTTATATGCCCCACAAATGAGTGCAATTCTATGTCTGTCCCTCTTTTTTTTTCTGACTTGTTTCACTCAGCATGATACTCTCCATGCCCATCCATTTATAACGGTTTTCATGACTTCGTTTCTCCTAATAGCTGCATTGTACTGCACATCTTTATGTATTCATCCAAGCCATTTTCATTTCTTGCTTATTGTAAATAATGCAGCTGTGCACATGGTAATACAGAGATATTTTAAAGCAAGTATTTTTATTTCCTATCACTGTATTGCCACTAATAGAATTGCTGCACGGATGGTAGTTTTATTCTTAATTTTAAAAGAATTAACCACAATATTTTCCTTATGTCTGGGCCAATTTATAATCTCACCAACAGGACACCTCCAGGGTTCACTGAAGAATTGTTTATTAATGAAAATAATAGTCTCGTGGACTCTAAACCCTGATGGAGAAATAAATTTAAAAAATGATGACAACACAATGGCCACTCAGTACCTCTATTGCAAACCACAACACCAAAGAAAGAGAACAAAAGAAAATGCTCTACCACAGAGGCGGGGTGGGGGTGTGGGGTGGGGGTTGGGAGGAATGCTGGCATCGTTGGGGTGGAGGGTGGACACTGGTGGAGGGATGGGTACCCGAGCAATGTATGACTGAAATACAAGCACAAAAATATGTAAATCTGTAACTGTACCTCACGGTGATTCACTAATAAAATTTTTTTAAAAAAATGATGACAACATTAAGTGGTAAGTTCTATGATGGGAGATTCAAAAGGACTAGGAAAGTTTAGAGGAGAGTGGGTTTTGGGTGTCCTGAACAGAGGGTTTTGTCAATTTCAGGGGATAAAAGAAAGTGCCAAAGCCTAGAATAATGGCAAGAAAGAAACATATTTATTGAGTACAGTACAAGAAAGCAGTGAGGCAGGGCCGAAAGAACAGCATGCCCAATGATGGGGTGATGGCAGTACATAGCCTTAGAGAGAGATGCTGCATGTTTCTTTCAGGAGGCATTATAAAAATTTTGCGGGAAATTTTCTTGATGTAATTTTTTACAGTAGGCAATGATGCCTTCTAGCCAAAAAATAGCAAGATGTTCTGAGAATTTGATTGAGTCCAACCAGTTTACACAGTTAAAGTAAAGTAAAGTAAAGGCTCTCCCGTTGATCGTCGATTTGCTCGAGCGGGCCCAGTAACGTCTCCATTGGAGACTTTGTTGTTACTGTGTCTGGCATATCGAATACTCTTGGTAGCTTGCCGGGCTTATGTTCAGGATATTATTTTGTGTCTGATGTTGCAGCCCAAAGCTTTGGGGAGCCAGTAAGACGTTGAGAAGAATTGAGAACTCAGGGAGAAGTGAAACTAAGTAAGCACAAACGGTCAAAGAGTTGAAGGTGCCAAGACTTTGGCTTAAGAAAGTATGCCGTGGCCTCTGGAAGATGGTGGCCACCAGGCCGCCAAGGGGGAGCAGATCAAAGTGTAGAGAGAGTGATTTGGAAATTATCTGCCCCACAGGTACGGGGAGGGTTTGAGATGGGGGGTATATGGGGATTTTTGGTGATGGGGAATAGGCACTGGTGAAGGTACGGATGTTTCATTGTATGAACGAGACTTAAACCTGAAAGCTTTGTAACTGCTCTCACGGTGATTCAATAAATAAAATTATAAAAAAAAAAGGAAAAAAGAAGTCAGGTGGAGTTTATGCAAAATTCAGTCAGCCTAATCAGTGACTGAATAAATAGCAGTACTCCTACACTAAAAAAAAAAAAAGAAAGCATGTCTGTTTTCTGGAGAATGTAGTGTTACAAATGCCTGGACTGAATCTTACAGGAAAAAAACAAGATTGGAGAGTTTGGTTGGGAGCCAGATGATGAAGGCTGTTCTGCATCATATAAAGAAGTTTGACCATTACAGTGGAAGGCCATGTCATATGTAGATTTTGTATTTTTTTTGTTTCTTTGTTTTCTCTCTACCATAAACATCACAGTAGCATAGGTATTGCCATTCTGTTTGTCACACATAAACTGGAGCTTTCAAAAGAAGTCCTGTATGTAGAAGAAAATTAACACTGAAAGCTTGCTTTTAAGATTGGCTTTTAGGAACTTGGCTGATAAATAGCTTTCACACCAATATAAGTTTTCTTTTTTCTCACAAGTAAAGTTGGCTAGCTTACTGTGCATAAAACTTTCTTTCATTGAGTCTGGAATTTTGATATATGCTAAGCAGAGGGTTACAGCCCCCAGTAAAACCAACAAACAAGCAATCAAATGAAAGCAAACAACCTTTGGTGCTGAGTGTCTAATGGGTTTCCCTAGGCATAAACAACACAAGATGTTCTACTTTTTTTTTGTAGTGAGGGTGAGTGTACTGTGTGACTTATGAGAGGGAAAGAGTCACTCGTTGACTCCTTCAGAATCTAAATATGTTTCCTTTGTGATCCACCAAAATCTTACTGTTTTGCTGCCGTAACTATTATCTATGTCAATTATATGCCAAGGTTAAAAATAATAACCGTGAAACTAACCAGTTTCATTACATAGGATGTCTTAAGTATCTCAAGTATATATGATTTTAATATATTGTTATAAAAGTTATTGAGTAAGATATTTGCTTTACCAAGAAGTTGAAGTATTAGTGTACTTATCTTCACATAATTAAAGAGTTTAAGCATATTTAGCCTATTTTGATCTCACAATATGTTCCAAAATCTCAAATTTGGCTCTAAATTACCTTTTTTTTAAAAAAAAATTATTTCCGGTTCATACCTTTAAATGACAGATCTATTAGCTTTGTGAAGTGTTGAGAGAAAGAGGCATTAGCCATAAGGCAATTAATTACAACTCTGATCCAGAAAAGGTGGCAAAAGTGACAAAATAGTGGCAAAAGTCCTCAGAACTTTTTTAGTGTCCCAAAGTGATCTTTGTTTTTTTAATGGATGAGGACTTAATTTTATTGTTTATGATACATGAAAAGTCAACCACAGAACTGCAGCACCACATCTTATTGCAAACAGCCTCTCCTGTTCACTTAAAAACCTATTAGTACTTACTGAGACCCAGTCATGAAAAACTTTGTAATTGTGTGTCTCATTTTGATTCATTAAAAAAAATGTATTAGTTCTTACATATGACTCACCAGGCTTCAATCCTCAGCACTGCCTATGATCCCCAGGAACCAGCAGGAGTCATCCCTGAATTCAGAGCCCGGCGTACTCTCTGAGCATTGCTGAATGGGGCCCATCCCCTCAAAAAATTAGTATCATGTAATAGTAGTCATACACTAGATACCTTATATAATTTATGTAAGGAAACTCTACTCAAGGCTTATTTGAAAAGCATGTCTTTTGAAAAATTAAAGGTATTATCTAAAGCTTCAGATCTAAAGGTAAGCTTCAGATCGTACCTGGAGGAATTTCCGATAAACAAGGAAATCCATGAATTTCGTATGGCTACCTCTTCAACTTACCAACTTGTCTTTTTTTTAACCTGACTGGTAGTGTTATAACCCCTTTGGGCAGCCTGTTAGACAGATTTTATATTTCATTTTAATTGTGCTGTCTCACTCTAGAAAGAGGCAAATAGTGAAAATGATGATTCTATTGCTTCCTGTTTTATTATTATTACTTATTTTAATAACCCTTCCTGTAGCCTTTTCTGGAACCCAGAGATTTAAGAACACTGCTTGTTAAGAATGGATGGGCTTGTATTTTGGTCTTTATTTCTTGTATAACAAGAGAGGATTTATAGATCATAAATGAACTTTCCTGGGAGTTGTTAATAGACTGTAAGAGAGTGATCTCCCAACAATATACATTTTTTAAGAATTGTTTACTTCATAAACTACTTACAGTGTTTTATTGCTTTTATATGTTTATTTTTTTATTGCTTTTATCATATTATTTTTCTCTCTCAGATAGCCATAAGTACTTATTTAATATATGTTGCATTTGCAGAATACATTTTTATTTATTCATATTTTTAAATTAAAATCTTTTCACTATTTTCTGTTAATGATAAACTCATGAAAATGTGGGCTTTATTCATGTGGTCTAGATTGCTTTTGTTTATGTTAGAATTGGGGGTGGGGTGTAAGACTGTTTTGTTTAACTTGGTTTCATCCTCTGGGAAATAGCTCAGATGGAAAATATACTTTCTATTGCTGATGTAAATCTATTTAGCCAGGGTTACTTGCAAACTAAAGTTTATTTCTAATCATTGTGTAGATTATTTACATAAACCTTTGTATTTAGAGTCATGCTTAAAACAGAATGTGTGTCTATAGATTTTCTGGTGTTTGTTGTGTCATGTTTAGAAGTAAAATTTATGAAGTAGTAGTGGTAGCCATCATAGCCTGACTTAGTTTTTCTTCTCAAATACTTGATATTTTATTTTATTTCCTACAGTGTGACCTTTGACATTTTGTTCTCTAGTTTTCCAGAGAGGTGGTCATTCAGAGCTTATACATCTATTCTGTATTTTGACCCTTGGATGAGAATATTTATACAGGCCAAAAGAGTTAAAACAAAGCACCTGTGTTACTCTCTCTACAGACCCAGGTAATTCACTTTACTTATTTTTTTCATAGACTTTAATTCATAAATCTATTATGCTCACCTCAAAAATTATCAAAGTGAGAATATTAATTTTATTTTTATTATTCATTTATTTTGTTTTTGGGCCACACTTCAAATTGTGCAGGGCTTACACTTGGCTCTGCACACAGGAATTACTCCTGATGGCGCTCAGAGCAACATATGAGTTGCTAGGAATCAAGCCCAGGCTGAGCAAGTGCCAGGCAAATGCCTTGCCCACTATACTCTCCCTCAAATCCTGAGAACATTAATTTTATAATAAGATTTTTATATTGTAAATTAAGTTAAAGCTAAATTTAGAAAAGCTTGAAAGAATAATTACATGTAACACATATTTGATCATAATAGCAGCACACTGTGGTGAATAACAACAAAATTTTTTCACTTCAATGAATCTTAGATGATTTATTTATACTAAGTCCCATTAAACAATCACAGTTCACTTATGTTTTCTGTTTATATATTTGAACAGCTAAGTCATATACATATGTGTGCATGTGTTTTACATTGACTGAACATAATTAACATATCTGCTTTATTTTTTCTTTGCCTTTTACATTTTTAGTATAGACCTTTTTAATCTTACATTTACATTTTTTCTGTCTTGGCCAACTATACTTGCAGTCATAACAGCTTAACAGGTCTTTTTTTTTATTTTGATGTTTGTTAATTTATTAACTACACAACAAAATCTTTTGTGAGTCTAAAGCTGTTCTAGGTACAGTTTACAAAAAGATAAGAATATTTCTGGTTTTGAAATAAATTGTTAGGAAAAATTTATGTGTAATTATTGTGAGTATATGTATATGTACGTTTTATATGCATTATTTAAATTTTTTCAGTGACCTTCGGTAGTATGTTATATTATTACCATTTTATAGATAAAGAAAATGTCAGTTAGAAAAGTAACATTTTCTGCCTCTAATTTTCTTTTACCGGTTTATATTTAATGCCCTTCTTTCATGCCACACTATTCATGATATCCTGGATTTGTCTTGTTGTTTGAAAAACAGTTATTTTCCTGGGACCTTATAACCAATCTTATTGATATTGGTTTTGATTTTAAAGGTATAAGTCTCTGAATTGTATACTCCCCAGAGGATTCCTTAAAGCACTTGCTTGATTTGTGATTATATTGCAGCTAATATTTTTGAATATAAAATAAACAAAGGTTAGATTTTTCTCATAAATCTTCCTATGCATTCTCTAATTTAAAGTATTAAAATGATGATTTTTTTCTATTGGCCTCCTTCTATAAAATACCAAGGATCTGTCAATTAATATAACTGATATTTTCAAATTGAATTATTCCTTTCATTGAATATAGGTAAAGAAAGAATCTAAGCCAATAGAAAAACATGAATTTGCCTCTATAATCTGAGAAAATAATAGTGACTTGAATTTTATCACTTAAATTACTTATATGAAGTGATTATTTCTAATTCTAGTATATTTTATATTTCTTAAATAAATCACATAATATACTTAGATATAATATATACATTCATATATATACTTAGACATACTATACAAAAAGTTAGAATTGTGTACTTTGTTCCATCACATGTATTTATGAAGGTTTATAACTTTGCCAAATTTTATAAGGGGCTATAATAGATTATCAAATATGATATTTAGTGTTCAGTATTTTGTTTGGAAAGATTTATTATTTTGTGGATTTATGATTTCAACTTATCTCTATTGATTTTTCACATTTAAGAACATATGATTGATTTTTCTCCTGTGTTCTAAGGTGGCAATATTTTGCATATATAGTGTTCCCTTCTTGTTTTCTGACCCATCATCAGAGGACCCTTGCTTTATTTCTTCTGAAAGGCACTGTACCTCTAATGGTGGTATCAGAACAAATTTAGAGAATGAGAATGATATTTGAGACATTTAAACAGTTTCAAAGGGTATTAAAATGATTACTCTATTTACTTGATTACCAAGCTACAATAAACTTCCAGAAATATTAAGTATTATAAACATGAATCAATTTCTACATTTGATGGTATTTATTTTCTGTATATTTGTTAAAAACTGAAAAAGAATACTGAATTTTCATCATATGGGTAGACTTTCATTGCTTTAGCCATTTTATCCTAAAATCTAACAAGTTCAGAATAGGACTAAAGACTTTTTGGTGTTGTCATAGCTTTCTTTCCTTGAGCACATTTTGTTCAGTGCTTTTATCAGAAACCTAGATTAAAACTAAACATGTTATTATTGAATTCATAGTCAAACATGCACTGGGATTATCTTTAATCTGGGATAATAGAAGAAAGATGTAGAAGAGTTACATCGAAAAGCTGAATATAACATAATTAGCAGACCTTCATTTAGTTGAAAACAATCCAGTGAATACGTATAGACTTTACTGTTATCTATATGGAGAAAAATTCAGATATATTAATTAAGCATGAATTTAGTATAGTTTATAATGTAAGAGAGTTCTTTGAAATATGAAATTTAATTAGCAGAACAAGATAGTGATTATATACCAGTATCCTGCTACCAGTACCAGCATCCTGCTGAAAACAGTATATTGTGGCTGATGTTCAGAAAGCAATGCTTCAGAGGATAGAAATTTATGAGATTGCAGGAACTTAACTGTTTTGTAGAAAAAGGGTGTGCTGTTTATGAAACTTAAAATACATAATGATGGAGGTGAGAAGGTTTAGGGCTGAGTGAAAACAAGAAAGCCTGTAATATAAGTGTTCTAGAACTTGGATTATGGATATGAGAAGATAGAACTAGCAAAGAATCACACCAATGAGACTACTTGTTTAAGGAAAAAGATATACAGATTACCTTTTTCCACTGGTGTTCAATATAAGGATATATAAAGACCTCAAAGAGTAAGGAGCCATCTCAACTGCTTCAGGGTTACCATCGATACAACGTTTTCTGTGCTAAAATGTTCTGAAGAACTAAAGGTAAAGGTAAAGGCCCTCCCGTTGATCGTCGATTTGCTCGAGCGGGCCCAGTAACGTCTCCATTGGAGACTTTGTTGTTACTGTGTCTGGCATATCGAATACTCTCGGTAGCTTGCCGGGCTCTCTGAGAGGGGCGGAGGAATCGAACTCGGGTCGGCCTTGTTGGCCGCTTGTAAGGCGAACGCCCTACCGCTGTGCTATCGCTCCAGCCCACTGAAGAACTAAATAGCCTTATCTTGCTCAGGATATACCTGAACGCTAAAGAATTGTATATATGGGTTTGTACATGGCGCTATTATGAGTATTGGCTTTCAACCACTAAATTCAAAGTTTATTTATTGTGCGAAGTTTGGAAATGAGTCACTTCAGAGGGATTTGTTTTCTAAGAAAGCTTCACGTGGTTGAGCACCCTCCTTTTGGTTCGCAGGTTAAATATTCAGATATTAAATAGAGTATGTACAGAATGGAAAATTGGTTTCTGAAGACATAGAACATGAGGCACAGCAACTCATAAAAGGGCAGGAGTTTGGCTTGAGATTAATGAAGTTTCTGCTTTGCAATAGTAGAAAGTAGTGCCATTTAAAAATGAGGACAGATTTGTCCTTGCAGTCTAGATTGTAGCTGAGGAAAATTGCTTTGAGAAGAATTTCTGCTAAAATATCTTCAAGGCCTATTTTTAACTTTTTATATATTTTATATAAATTTATAATTTTTATAACTATAATTTTTTTTCTCTTTGGGTCTCACCCATCAGGGGTTACTCCTGATTTTGCACTTAGAAATTACCCCTGGTGGTGCTCAGGGGACCATATGAGACACTGGGAATTGAACCCGGGTTGGCCACATGCAAGACAAATGCCTTACCTGCTGTACTATTGCTCCAGCCCCATATAACTGTAACTCTTAAACTTTTAAATAGTGTTTATCTGCATCTGCATGACATAGCAAATTAGTATATTACAGTGTTACTTTATTATAGGCAACACACAGCATTACTGATTTTCTTTGGTTTTGAATCCTTTATATTTAAGAGAAAAAATAGCTATTAGGTTAATAAAAGCATTAAAGCTCTGCACATTGGAACTAAAGACAGTATTAGATGTTTGTAATTATTTTGGGGGAGAATGGGGAATGACCACACCCAGCAGTGCTTAAGGGTCACAGCATAGGCAGTGCTGGGGATCAAACCTGGACCAAGCCTATGCCTTACATGTTGTATTATTTCTCTTTCCCCTAAAAAGCTCTTTTTTCAAGGAAGTCAGCCAAAGTTTCTGAGGATTCCATTTTTCTCTCATGCTGCTTTACCATTAGCCTGTAACATTGAAAAGAGCCTAAATGATATGAAATTAGAATCACCTGCTCTCATAGGGGCAGAATAATCCTTTAAAAGTTGTTTGGGAACACTGAATTTATGCTCTGCCATTGAATATTCTCTGTTACTGTGCATTTGGGACAGCCTTGTCATTTGTTTAGGGATACAACACACACCCTCTTCTCACTCATCCACCAAGACAGAGAAATGATGTTTTGAAAGCATCTCGTTGGTATGCTGTGAATAATATGTCTTTCCCCTAATGATTTTGTATAATATTGAGTTATTTAATCTTTCAGTAAAGAAAAGAAGTTGAGAAAAGTTGGCTAGGCTAAATTTGGATCTGAGTTTATATTTATTAGCTGTGGATCTTCAGAAATGACTTAAGTCAAATTATTTGCTACTGTGCATTGGAAATTTTTCTACCACATAGTATTGTTATGAGGACTGGGATTAAAAACATGTTGTATTTAAATATGAAAAGGCTTAGCACATTCCTTGACATGTCAAGAAGTAAATAGCTGTTACCATACAAAGGAATAGTAACAAATTGATGGAATAAACGTTAGGTGTAAATGAATTTTGTAGGAATTTGGGAATTCAGTAAAAGAAACAATAAAAATACCTGTTACAAAGTTCTGCCATCATAAAGCTTACACAGTGTGTGTTGGGTGGGGCATTAAGTTAAAATAAATAGTGAGTACTTTAAAGTGCTATGGAAAAAGCCAGAATTAAAATGTCAGGAGATAGACATTTAAGTGGGGTGTTAGATGACTCTTAGATGTAATCAAATAACTTATCTAATTTTACTTTTATGTTTAATTTATTTTGCTTCTGTGAAGGGACTCAGGGGATACTGGGGGACTCCCAGCTATATGCGACTAAGTGAGTCAACTCTTCAGGGCAGGGCCTGATGTAGGAGTGCTGCATGGGCCTTGCATTGCTTGGACCACAGACCCATCTGAAGCAGGGCTCAAAGACCTCCAGAACCCACTTGGCTTTGCTTGGGCCCTCCAGGGCTATACCCAGTGATACTTGGGGACAATGTGTTCTGGGGATTAACCCTGGTTGGGTTCCAATTCATCATCTTCACATTAGAAAGTACACACACATCAGATTTTTAAAAGCATAAAATCCTATGCAACTTCTGTCTTCACTTATTACTTATCTTCAATGGATTATCTGTCATTGTTAAATATATTGTTTAGTGCTCATTTCTTTATGATTAATATATATTTAGGAGTTGTAGGGTTTTCATATTTTGTCATAATTGGACATCTGTATATTTGTACTAGTATGCAATGATTTCTGTAGAAAATAATTACAGAAACAAATTTCTAGGTCAAAGTAAGTACATCATTAATTTTGATGGGTGCTATTAATTTACCATCAATGAAGCAAAACCCCAATTTAATTATATAATGATAATGTATAAGAGTGTTCTAAAGTCAGAGTTACTATTACCCATTCTAAGGACCAAAACTTTTATACTGTTTTAATTTTCATTCCATCCAATATTTTCCATTGATCTTATTTTTTAAAAGCTCTTTAGAGAGAAAAGGGCTGGAGCGATAGCACAGCGGCAGGGCATTTGCCTTGCACGCAGCCAACATGGCCGACCCGAGTTCGATTCCTCCGCCCCTCTCGGAGAGCCCGGCAAGCTACCGAGAGTATCTCGCCCGCACGGCAGAGCCTGGCAAGCTCCCTGTGACGTATTCGATATGCCAGACACAGTAACAACAAAGTCTCCAATGGAGACGTTACTGGGCCCACTCGAGCAAATCGATGATCAACGGGAGGGCCTTTACCTTTACCTTTACCTTTACCTTTAGAGAGAAAATAATTAGTAAGTTGTAAAAAGTAGAGATAAGCGAAATTTTTAAGAGCTATTAAATTGATAGAATACAGTTAGAGCTAGGCCGTGAAACGTGCAAAGAAAAATGAAGTCCTAAAGTGTGACAGAACAAAATATAATCTAGAAAGAAAAAATAGTTTGGAGACAGAGGCTGAACACAAGGACTGGGGGCAAAGGTAAAGTAAATGCAGTTAAGGAGAGAGGTTTGGAAAAGCTTCTGACAGTGGAGAAACTGGAGGCTGAGTCCTAGAGGAACAGAACCCCCCCCCCCCCCCCACCACCACCACCACCCCACCTCCCTTCCCCTGGAAGAAAATTGACAACACTGAGAAGCACTGTGAGTCAGATGGATTCTCTTCCTATACACCAGTACATTTATTACTCTGCCTTTCAATGGCATCGTCAGTTCACCCATAGGAAATATAGGTGTTTCAGACTGGTGGATGCTCTACATTAGAGAAGGAATGGAATTGAAACGTATTCTTTTGGAAGAATGGGCAGATTCATTTCACTGAGCTTCATTTTATGCAAAATCTGGTATTAATAATGAGAATTGCTAACGTCTCTTTAGTTCCTAGTGTGTACAAACCATAAAATGCTGGGTCACACCCGCCGGTGATCAGGTCTTACTCCTGGCTCTGTGCTCAGGGACCACGCCTGGTGGGTTTAGAGGACCATATTAGGTACCAGGGATCAAATCTGGTTTGGCTGTATGCAAGGCAAAAAACATCCTACCCTCTATACTATTACTCTGGTCACAAGACTGAGGTTTTCTTATCAGTTTCTTGAAATTCCTTACAAAATTGACAGATGTAAAATAGAAAGTGAGAAGCATCTTCCTAGGTGATTTATTAGCTAGATATTCTGGGATTCTACTAATAATCATATAATTCTGACATACAGTCTTCTTTAGGATAATTCTTAAATTCTAAATTGAAAATCTTGTTTGATTATGTTATTCTCTGTTTCATTTTAGAAAGTATCAGTACATCACATCTTCTTTTAAGGGAGCATTTAAAAACGAAGTAAAAAAGGCAGAAGAAGCAGTAAAGTTTGGTATGTAATTATAACTTGAACCATTATTATTCTATACATTCAAACAATTGAGTGCTATTTGGAGTCATAACACCACTCTCGCTATCATAGACTGTAATTAATCAAGCATACTCTTTGCTTCTAGGGACTTTTGTCTGAATTATTTTTATCTCTAGTTTTGTTTTATGATGTCATTAATTGTTACATGTATAATCCTGAACACATTTAGGATATGAGACCTGTTAGAAACTCTAGTTGTCATAATGCTAACTTAGATATCATGATGCTAACTTAGATCATTTAGTGATTATTGATACATTAGCTTTAAGGAGAAATAGTCAACAGATTCGCTCTTACATCAGCAAGGTCAAATCTTCTCCAGTGATCCAGTAGTGAAAAGTCACTGTCACTGTCCTCCCGTTGTTCATCGATTTGCTTGAGCGGGCCCAGTAACGTCTCCATTGGAGACTTTGTTGTTAAGTAAAAAGTAACTTCTGGAAAAATATTTCATGGATTGCAGAGAATTTTTAGTCAGTTGCTTTTTCAGGTGGGACTTTTGCATTTTGCATATTTTTATGCTTTATTACTTGCAATGCCTAAAAGAAAGCCTGGTAGGGCCACCTAGTTTTACAACGTATTAGCGCTATGGAGGGAATATAGAATTTTCTGTTATTATTACCTGTAAGCCATTGCTCTGATCATGGCTCTGTATATAATGTTCACTTAAATTTTTACAAATTTTATTATATTATAATGATCTTACCTTTATTTGTAGCTGAACTCATGTTGAAAGAAACACGAATCAAAGTTAGCCACCCTGGCAGATATTCTTTGTCTTCTCCAACGAAGGTATGACATAGAAAGTCATGTACTCAGATGGCAAACCACTTTTTTCCCCTTGTACATGGTGTCTCATAACTTACTTTTTAAACATAGGCAGGCTGAGAAGATTAAGTTTATTTCAGTGCAGGTAAACAGAATAGATGAGTGCAGAGAAAAGAGAAAGCCCAGCGAGTGGGAGCGAGGCTGAGGCAGAGCAAAGAGGGATAAAACATGGAGTAAAATTGGAACAGGAGGGAAGAGCATCACAACTTATTTCTTTGAAATGAAAAGTAATATAAGAAAAGCAGAACATAATGGAAAGTTCACAGAAAAAAAGCCTATGAATTTCTTGAAAATACATTTTCAAATTAGTGCTCCCATTGGACTAAAAAATGGGGAGAGCAGGAAAAGACTAATAAGCAATCCTTCTTTCTTGTGCTAGGAATTATGTACCATAATTATGAATATTAATAGCAATGCTTCCAGCTTACAAAGCTTTTTTCTTATAAGTTGCTATGCATAGTTCATAAACATTCTGTGCAATCCTTGTGCTGTGCCCATGAGTAAAATGGGTTAGAAAGAGCTATTATTAATTATTATGCATGACAACAAAAAAGAAAAAGAATGTTGCAAGTTTGCTAACTTTTACCGGAAATATAGTACGAACCTTCTACTATGGTGTATCATTAAACATATTTATGTTGCGTGAAAAGGGATAAGTAGGTATATGAAAAAAAATGCATCATTTTATTTTTTGTTCATTCTCGTCTTTGGTCTTCATATATGAATTATTTCTGTGATTTGCCCTTAAGCTTTCAAGGACTGGGGCTGTGCCTGATGAAGAGCTCTCATATCTAGCAATCATGAATAGGGGATAAAATCAAAGCGTAGCATACGAAAATGCCCCAAAGCACCCATGCCTTGTCCTAAAGTTCCCTTTTTTTTCATTAGTTTTAAGTTAAAGGTAGATCTATCTTATTGTTATCGATTTAGTATAAGCTTTTTATATTTTGTCTCCAAGAAATCAATTTCCTTGGCTTTATTTATTTGAGTGACAAAAGAGACAGACTCTTTCAAATGGGTCAGGACCTTGCTTTCTTCTTACCTTAGCCCATTAGTTCTCTCTGCCCCCTTGCTTTATTGCTCTGAATGCATTGACAGGAAGGGCAGGTAAGTCTGTGACCAGCTTTCTTTGTGACTCTGAAGCAGCTAGTTTCTTTAATGTGGAGAAGAGAACAAAGCAGAATGACCTCAACTTTTGACCTCTCAAATTCCTCTGGGCAACTGGGTAGTTGAATTTAAAGTGAAATACTTATCAACCATTTACCTTTTTCTTTCACTTTAAGCTTTGTGGAAATACTATTTAATCAGCGTGTACCCATCAAATGAAAAGTCTCACTTTTTTTCATTTCAGGAAGAGGGTGCACCTTTAAAGTTTATTCTTACTGATGATGATTTGTTTTCTGTTAAAATTGGAGTATTGAAGAACTGATAAAACAAGTTGAGAAAGAAAATAAGAAAAGCAGTTGCACACTAATAGAGCATCTAGAGAGATAAGGCCTAGGATGGGATAGCCTATACAGGGAGAGGTGAGAGGATATTAGGAGTATCTGAAACTTGATATAAAGAAGTCATTTTCCTCTTGCCATAACCATGCCACCGGACCCACACTAGGCTGAGTCACTCAGAGTACCCCAGAAAGGGGTGAATGAGATCCCTCCCCGCCCCAAGGGGCCCACCCCAGCAGCTGAAAACTTCCAGAACCCAGCCACTGCCATGCTCACGGCTGCTCTCCACACGCTCAGGCAGAGCCTACCCATCAGTGAACCTATTCCTGGACCTAGCGGCTATGTATGCGTCAAACCACAAACCCTATCCATACTCCAAGATTACCCAACCACATTTGATAGGATTCAAAGTAGGAGGCAACCAATCTCAGAGGGAAATACACATTTTTTACAGATATGTGTATATATATATATATATATATATATATATATAGCACACAATGCTCATCTTTTAACAACATGTTAGTGATATCTTATAGAAGATACTTTTTGTAGTATACTTGAATACTTTTTTTGTAGCATTTTCAGCAGTTTTTCATAACACACAACACTGTCATTGTCACTGTCCTCCCGTTGTTCATCGGTTTGCTCGAGCGGGCCCAGTAACATTGTAAGACTTGTTACTGTGTTTGGCGTATCAAATGCATCATGGGTAGCTTGCCAGATTTTGCCATGCGAGTGAGGTACCCTCGGTAACTTGCTGGGCTCTCCGAGAGGGGCGGAAGAATCAAACACACGGGTTGGCCAGGTTGACCACATGCAAGGCAAACGCCCTACCCACTGTTCTATCGCTACAGGATGTGAGGGTGATCTGGCTGCGACATCTGTCACCCCACTGATTGCCAGGGTTGATTCGGCTGATCTGGCTGTCTAGGCAGGTATCCTCTTCCTCCCTCATCGCTCCATGTGCATCCCTCCTGAAGCTGCATGCTCGGTCGAAGAGGATGGCCTTCCCCGACAGATACGAACCAGTCTTCAGTGGAGGCTATATGAGTGGTAGCTGCGCTCCCCTGCTAGAACCTCCAAACAGGCTCCCAGTCAAGAATATTTTTTAAAAATTAAAAACCTGAAGGCCCATCAACTGGAGACTTGAAAAAAGAAGGTGTGATGTGTGTTCATAATGGAATACTGCTCTACTCTGTTTAAAATAAAGAAAGATGAAGTCTTGCCATCTGCAGTAACACAAAGCTAGAGGTTGTTATGCCCACAGAATAGTTCTAACAGGAAGGTAAGGACACAGTGAGTTTCACTCAGTGTGCAAGATAAAGAAACAAAACAAATTAAAAAAAAAAGAAACAAAACAAGGATAGAAGAAAAAACAGCAAAAAAGGAAAGAAACCTTTAAACCACAGAAACAAAATAGTGATTGCTAGAAGAGAAGAGGAAGGTGGTGAGCAAACCAGGCCAAGGGAGGGTCCCTTTGATTGTGCGTAGAGAAACCAGACCTTAGGTGGCAAACAGTGTGGCACGTAGATCAGAGGATTGATGAGACTGCAGTGCGGGCCTGTGTGATGCCTCAAACCAAGGTCACTTCGTTTTCATTATTGCTTTGGCTTGGCTTAGGAGCCACACCTTGTTTGTTGCTCTGAGTTGATTCCTGCTCACGGGCAGGAAACTGTGTTTCTAGGGATCATGGCGGTCCCTCCCTCATGCAGAGCGGGCAGTTGGCCCTTCGAGCTAGCTCCCCTCCTCTCTTACTCCAATATACAACAAAATAGAACAAACAAAAAGCAAAGCGAAGAGAAACAATATCAGGATGTACAGCAACTAAAAGAGAAAAGCTCTGAGAATTGACTCCGTTCCGTCAACTCAGTGTTTCAGAGACCTTGGGACGATCGGGAAATGATCACTTGATCACTTGACATCCCGTTACTCATCGATTTGCTCGAGTAGGTGCCAGTAATGTCTCCATTCATCCCTGTCGCGTCCTATTGTAGCCCAATGGTGTCTGCTCATTCTAGGAACACGAAGAGCTTCAAACTGATTGTTCAGGGTCTTGATGAAGAAGTCTGACCATCTCGTAGGTGGGCGGCCACACCGTCTATTGACATCCCATGGAATCCAGTCAGTAATGGCTCTAGTCCACCGGTCGTCTCTAAATCTCATTACGTGTCCAGCCCATCTGATTTTCGATGCCTTGGCAAACGAGACAACATCCCTGATTCTTGAGCGTTGATGGAGGTTGGAACTCCGGATTCTTTCTCTCATTTGAGTGAAGCATGATATCCAAGCATAGCTCTTTCAGTTCCTCTTGGGGAGACCCGAATAGTGTTCTCATCCTGTTTTCATAGGGCCCAGGTCTCTGAGGCATATGTTAATGCAGGAAGAAGAGTGGAATTGAACAGATGTGCCCGGAGCCAGAGGTTCTTCATTATCTTAGCTATTTCTTCAACACTCTTGAAGGTGTTGAAGAAATAGCTTCCTCCTGCGCAACTCAGGTGCCAGATCATTTGTCGTGTTGACTTCTCGACCTAGGTACACATAACTGTTGCATTCAGAGATGTTCGTTCCATTGAGAGCAAATGGAACTCTAGGAACGAGACTGTTTCTCATAAACATTGTCTTTGTGAGATTCAGCTGTAGTCCGACCTTTCCACACTCACGGTTGAAGTCGGCCAGCATTTGTGCCACTTGGCTGATGTTTGATGTTATTAGAACGATGTCATCAGCAAAGCGGAGGTGGTGTAGTTGCTGACCATCTATCTTCACTCCCATTCCTTCCCATTCCATTTGTCGCATGATGTTCTCAAGGGTGGCACTGAAGAGTTTCGGTGAAATGGTATCACCCTGCCAAACCCCTCTCTTGACATCAATGATCACTTCTTTGTAGAATTGTGAGATCCTAGTAGTGAGTTTGTAATACATGATCCTGATGTATTGAGTTTGAATGCCCTGATTGGCTAGGGCTTCTATGACCACTTCCGTCTCAACAGAATCAAAGGCCTTCTTTAAATCAATGAACATTAGAAAAAGCTGCATCTTGAACTCTCGAGAAACACACAATACAAAATATATTATTTCGGTTCTCCTTTGGGGCAGAAATTGGGGTTCTGGATGGAAGCATCCTAAATATGGTGGTGGGAAGGTGTAATAGTGGTGGGGCTGGTGTTTGAATATTAAATGTAATGAAATATTGTGAACTACTTTATGAAATAAAAAAAAATAAAAAAGGGGTCATTTTTGTTTGGCCACTCAAAAAACTTTGTTGTTGTTTTGTGGCTCCACCCAGAACAACTCAGACCATGAGGCGTCAGGATTGAAACAGGCCTCTTGAATTCACAGTATGTTTTTAGTCCACTGAGGTATCTCTCTGTCCCATCACAAAACTTTAATTGCAATTTTTTCTTTAAAACTATTTAATAATCATCATTCAATTTCCGGTTCTTATAGACAAAAGTCAGAGTATAGGTACATTAACATTTTTTTATGTGTAGTTTGTGTGAAAGCTATTCTATAGCTGTGCGCAAATATGTACAAAAGGAGAAGAATGGGTGAAAAGTGGATTACAAGTATTTGTTAACTACAGACTGTGGTAGACTGTGGTAGCATTGTGTTCTATTGCCATTTTTCTTGGCTCTTGTTTCTAGAATGCAGGTCACAAAGATTGGAAGATCAGGGGATATTTTATTAAGTCAGAAGCAAGAAACTTAAAATACAAAAGTTCTCTAAGACTGGGGCCAGGAGTGAGTTGTTGTTGGTCTAATCTGGGGCTTTTCTTTTGTGACTTTCCTTGTTTTTCTGGCTTTTCCCACTTAGCTGTGTTTAGGGTTTGTTTGGGAGACTGTTGATTGAACACCTAGTATAGGGTGGTTGTGGCCTCTTTTCTAAGAATGGGTGTAAATTTCCACCTCCTAAGAAAATTGCTCTCTGCCATGTGCTTTCTGAGGCATGCAGGCATTGGATAGAGTTGCTAAGGGAACTGGGCTTCCAGTATCAGGATGTCTCAAGCCATAAGAGAAGATATTCAGGTGGTGGACAGGGTAGGTAGTGAGCATTTGATGCTATGCCTTGAAAATCCTGCCTGGGGCACTAAGCGTGCCTTGCCATCATTGTTACCCTCCTGAAACCTTTGTCTAATAGTATAATTAAGTTATGCTGGACTTTTGTTAATTTCATGGTATTATGCTAACTAAAGGTACCTCTTCAGGATGTATTGCAGAAAGCTTTGGAAGATGTAGAAGCAAAGCGTAAGATTCTCAAAGAGAAGAAAAGGTAAGGTCAATTTAGGATTTGTTAGAAAGATTTTCTGTTTTTTTTTTCTTTTTGGGTCACACCCGGCGATGCTCAGGGGTTACTCCTGGCTCATGCATTCAGGAATCACTCCTGGCGATGCTCAGGGGACCATATGGGATGCTGGGAATAGAACCTGTGTCGGCCATGTTGGCTGTGTGCAAGGCAAACACCCTACCCACTGTGCTATCGCTCCAGCCCCAAGATATTCTGTTTTGAGTAGAAAATTTGATAGTTATTGTGACATTTTCTGAGTCCATGACATCTTAAGCTATTATGAGTCAAAATTACCCAACCATTATGACCATCATAAATGTATATAAAATATATAGTTCGGGGCTGGAGTGATGGCACAGCAGGTAGGGCATTTGCCTTGCTCACGGCCAACTGGGGTTCCCATTCCCAGCATCCCATATGGTCCCCCGAGCACCGCCAGGAGTAGTTCCTGAGTGTAGAACCAGGGGCAACCCCTGTGCATCTCTGGGTGTGACCCAAAAGGCAATATATATATGTATATATGTATATATATGCATATATATACACAGTTAATGTACATATATGTGTTGCTATCTGTTAACACCTATGAATATAGAGTGAGAATGAAAAATTATTTCCACTACCAGTTCAATCTGGATAAAGACATGAATTACTGAGGGATCAGCGAACAAATTTACTTTCCTGTAGAGTTTTCTTTTTAAATTCTGGAGACTTGAGCTCAACTTCAACATTCTTATACTGTTTAAAAATAAAGATAAAAATATTTCAAGTTATTGTAACACATATAGTTAAAATAAAAGCAGCATGTTACTTGTACAAAATAATTCCTTATATTTGAAAGGCAAACTTGATCTCCATGTTAACTTGTGAAGTAAATTAAATAAAAAAAAAATCGATGTTATTGAGGTAAAGTTAGATTTGAAAAATCGCAGTAACTTTGGGGAAAATATTTTTTAATTTTTGGAAAAAGAAAGATTTATTGGAAAATAGAAAAGTAACACAAAACATAATTATAGCAGGACAGAGGCAGAGATAGGGACTTCTCAATGACTTTGTAAACTCACTTCTTAACTTTGATTTACTTTTAAAGGTAAAGGTAAAGGCCCCCCCGTTGATCGTCGATTTGCTTGAGCGGGCCCAGTAACATCTCCATTGGAGACTTTGTTGTTACTGTGTCTGGCATATCGAATACTCTCGGTAGCTTGCCGGGCTCTCTGAGGTAGCTTGCCGGATTTACTTTTAATTTTAGAGAAAAGAGAAAGCTAAATTATATTAAATTATCATTTTTCAAAATGTCCTGTGAGGTACAGAATAGTAGAGAAGTTAGTATTTTAGATCACAGACATTTTCTAGTCCTTAACTTTTTTTATTTGTTGGGCCAGAGCAATGGTAGAATATGGTGCTGGAGTTGCACACAGTCGACCTGAGTTTGATCTCTAATACCTACATGGTCCCCAGAGAGCAAAAGGGGTGATCCCTGAGCTCAGAGCCAGGAGTAAGCCTTGAGCATCCTCAAGTGTGGTCCCTAATCAAAAAAGCAAACAAAACAATTTTCAATTGGCAAACATTTTTGTTTTAGCCAATTATAGTCAAATAATTATGCGTTTGTGTTTGTTATAATTATTTGTCATTATCGTTATGCCAAGTACTTGGTTCTATGGAAATGTTGAGAGTACCCACTGGATTTTGTAAAATGTTTAAAATAGTTTGCAAAAATATTTATTTACCCTTACTTTTGCAGTGTAATTTTTAGTAATTCAATAAAATGTGTATTTTTATTTAATAATGTATTAAAAAATTTTCCAAATATGATTCCAGGGAATTAAGAAAAGCAAGGACTCTCTCTCTGTTCTTTGGAGTGAACACAGAAAGCCGAAACCAAGCTGGGATGTTCATTTACAGTAATAATCGCTTGATCAAAATGCATGAGAAAGTGGGCCCGCAATTGAAACTGAAGTCCTTGTAAGTATGTTTTTATTTTCAGAGTCACAGGCTGTATGAGAGGGAATATGCTAAGATTTTTGTCTGTGGAGTTAGATGATTAATCATAATGGGACCAGGTGTCATGTCCTTCCTTCACCCTTGCCATCAGTGTGTTGGCATTAATCTACCTAATTTATAATCTCACTGGCACTGCATGTGTTCTCTAAAGAAAAAGCACAGTTTGAGAAATTTGTTGCATTCCCTAAACAGTTTCATGTTCTACTACTCCTTATACCATCTGTTCAGGTTGTTTTAATATTTCACCAATTTCAAAATAATGCAAGGAAACCGCTGTCCCTGCAGTGCCCCGGAACCCAGCAGGCAGCTCAAGGGGCTGCAAAGGACATTTCAGAGAACCAGAGAGGTGACACTTTCCCACCATAAGGAAACTTCCACTTCTGTGGTGTCTCCAAACCCAGCAGGAAGATGAACTGGTTACCAAGGAGCACCCAGAAAGCCAGCCGTGTCTTAGTAGGTGCTCCTTTGGTACTGCAAGGGGACCCCCCACACACAGTGTTCCTGAACCTAGTGGACAGACAGAAAGGTGACCATGAATCAGCATGATTGGTCCTTTCTCAACTCATTGAGACCTCTACCCCGTACCTTCCTGAACTTGGTAGGCAGGCAGCCTGGTGGAGCATAAGAGCATAAGAAAACCTTGGAACCATGTGGTATTATAAAGTAAGTTATAAGTTATAAGTTATGGGAAAGAGTCACCTCCTGGAGCTATGAGTGACAGAATCTCACCATTCAGACTAGGGAGGTAGACTGCAAGACATTTTTTTTTCTTTTTGGGTCACACCTGGCGGTGCTCAGGGGTTACTCCTGGCTCATGCACTCAGGAATCACTCCTGGCGGTGCTTGGCGGACCATATGGGATGCTGGGAATCGAACCTGTATTGGCCATGTTGACTGTGTGCAAGGCAAACGCCCTACCCACTGTGCTACTGCTCCAGCCCCTGCAAGACATTTTTATCCCACCCACCTCCTACTCTAAAGAGGGATGGAGCGGAGACCTACATACATAACAAAAATACCCAGAAACTTAAGTGACCAGGATCCCACCCCAGCAGATGACATAGCATCAGAAACAATGAAGAAAGGAATTCAGCCATATAAATGGTGACAAACGTTCAGGAAACTCCCTAACATCAGTTTCCTGACTACTGACTGAATAAGACTTTGGAACAACCATCCTCTCAATGTATAATTATTGGATCAAAGGGGCTGGTGTGATAGCACAGCAGTTAGGGTGTTTGCCTTGCATGCAGCCAACCTGGGTTTGATTACCAGCATCCCATATGGTCCCCCGAGCACTGCTAGGAGTAATTCCTGAGTGCATGAGCCAGGAGTAACCTCTGTGCATCGCCAGATGTGACCTAAAAAGCAAAAAAAAAAAAAAAAAGTACTGATCAGAGAATCAAACATACAGAGATTCTCATGAATAAATGAAAGAACTCATTCAAATAGAAATGCAGAAATAAGAAATACTGTAGCACATATTAGTGAAAGAATTAATGAAGCTGAAAATCAAATAGGTGACCTCAGAAGCAAGTGATATCACAACTCTACTAATGAAGTTATAGAAAAAAGGGTGTGAAAAAATGAGATGTTCTTTTTGACAATGCCAGAGGAACAGCCTTAGATTGATGAGAATTCCAGAAGGAAGAAAAAGAAAAAGAAAAAGGAAAGAATAGGTATATATATAGAGAGAGATATGTTTCATAGTAGGGACCTTACTACAGTTCTTGTTCCTTGCTGTATTTCTAGTTATCTTTGGCCTATAATAAGGCCAAAGATAATCTTAAATGTTTTCATGAATGAGTGAATGAATGAATATAGGTTTGAGGTATAAAAAGAGCATTTAAGATGTTTGGTAAGACAAACCAGTGATGTCAGTTCAGATTTTCTAGTCTAAATAATATACATATTGCATATTACAGAATAAATAGTGAAAAGCGGAGATTCGAAGGGGAAAATGGTGAAATATATGGCACACCGTAGTACTGTTGCACTGTCCTCCCGTTGTTCATCAGTTTGCTCGAGCAGGCACCAGTAAGCTCTCACAACAAATTGTGAGACTTGTTGTTACTGTTTTTGGCATAATGAAATATGCCACAGGAAGCTTGCCAGGCTTTGCCATGTGAGCAAGATACTCTTGGTAGCTTGCTGGGCTCTCCGAAAGGAGTGGAGGAATCGAACCCGGGTTGGCTGTGTGCAAATCAAATGCCCTACCCTCTGTGCTATCGCTCCAGCCCATGCGGTACACAAGGTACTAAAACTGGAAATATTTGATTCATGTGCTGTACCAATAGCATTGGGGCACCTCTGAAGATGATCTTTCCCGAGGCAGGTTGTATCATAAAGCAAATTATCACAGCTACGTGTATTATGAACTACCAAAAATGTGGAAAAAATTTAAATTTACTTGTCACTCTAACACAACACTTTTTCCAAACAGTTTCTCCTTTATATTTTAGTAGAATTCACTGAGCAACCTGTGTATCTCCATAGTGATGAGAAAAAATAAATTATTTTAAAGAAAGTGAGAAAGAAATTGTCAGGCCAGAATCATCTAAAGGAGCATGGAAATTTATTTTAGGAAGGCATTTTTAGTTCTGTTTAATGCTGATTAGTCTCTTCCCACTAGTCCTGACTTGCCATTGAAGGTGATAGGTTTAAAAGAGAATTAATGTTAATTCAATAACAAACAAAACAAATACTGTCCTCCCATTCTTGATAGATTTGGTCGAGCGGGCCCAGTAACGTGTCCATTGTGAGACTTGTTACTGTGTTTGGCATATCGAATACGTCATGGGGAGCTTGCCAGGCTTTGCCGTGCGGGTGAGATACTCTCAGTAGCTTGCTGGGCTCTCTGAGAGGGGCGGAGGAATTGAACCTGGCTTGGCTGGGCAGGCTGCACGCAAGGCAAACGCCCTACCGCTATGCTATCGCTCCAGCCCGTTCAGTAACATATTAAAGTGAATTGTATAATGGAACCAAACGCACCTGAGTTCATTATAGATTTATGTGATGACATAAAATAAAAATATATTCTAATTCAAAATGAATAAATTAATTTAAAATATATTTCAAAAGACCAGATCATCTTTACTCTTTCTTTTTCCTTAGATAAATTTTACCAAACGTTTGTATGTATTTATTTCCCCCAGACTTGGTGCAGGTGTGGTTGGAATTGTTAATATACCCTTGGAGGTCATGGAGCCTTCCCACAATAAACAAGAATTTCTCAATGTGCAAGAATATAATTATCTACTAAAAGTCATGGGACAGTACTTGGTCCAGTACTGTAAGGACACTGGCATCAGTGAGTATCCAATTGTCACAGTTAAAGGGTGTTAATTTGAAGATCAACTTTGTGATTTCTTTAAGCCGGAATGATTACACTCATTCAGATAGACCATATTTAATGTAAAAGCCAGAAAGGCAGCTCCTGCATTAAAAACAAAAGGGAAATAAATGAGGAGAAAATCAGTGTCAGGATCTTTCGCAGAATTAGTATGTGAAAAATCAGGAACTAGATTAGAAATTATAAGACAGAAGAAGGTTAATCAGAGAGCAAAAGTAGCAGCTTACTAGAGAGAAAATTGGCTAAAGTTTCCTCAAGTAGGTGAAAAAGCTCAGAGGACTCTACTAGTAGGGGCACATAATCCCACTTAGACCTAAGTAGCCTCTACTCATTATTATATTGTGTGAGTATGATCATCATTGATTCTGGACAGTTGTAATTATGAACTTTTTATATATTTAGTCTTTATGCTAATTCTAAAATAATTCTGAATAAAAATACATAAAGTGAATATATTTGTAAATTAAAATGTTATCTTGGAAATTTGACTTTCCACATCATCTCACTCCCCTAAGATATCTGAGCAATGAGATAGTGTGATGAGCATTAATTAAAATTCTTTCTGTTTAACTAATAAACTTACTGTTTCAGTTATTTAATATTTATTTAAATACTTATTAACTACCCCCTAATTGCTCCCAATAGTATGATCACAGTGTGTCAGTGTAGTATCACCCTAGGATCTAAGACTAGAAAGGGGTATATTTAATTTAATTTTTTAGTCCAACCTTTACTATTGTTTTATTTAGTGTGTTTGTTTCATACAATGAGCTACTATGGGCTATAAAGAAATATGAAATTATGCTATTTGTAATGATGTGGATAGACCTAAAGCAAGGGTGGAGAACATCCAACCCACAGGCCATAAAATGCCTGAAAAATCACGTGGTCTGACCCTGGTACATGACAGGATAGACAAGCATGCTTCTTGTTTTTTTATTGCAGCCCATCTGACTCTGTTGAATGATCAAGATTGATGCTATAAACATTATGAATGCTTATAAACATTTATAAACAATATAAACATTTATCCTTAGCATAAAAGGCTTTCCCATCCCCAGGTCCCAGAGTATATTAAAAGGTAAAAAGGTAAAGGCCCTCCCGTTGATCATCGATTTGCTCGAGCTGGCCCAGTAACATCTCCATTGGAGACTTTGTTGTTACTGTGTTTGGCATATCGAATACTCTCAATATGTAGCTTGCCGGACTCTCCGAGAGGGGCGGAGGAATCGGACTCGAGTTGGCCATGTTGGCCGCTTGTAAGGCGAACGCCCTACCGCTGTGCTATTGCTCCAGCCCTATTATGATGAGTATAATGAGTCAGATTAAAAAAAGACAAATATTATGTGACCTTACCCATGTGTGAGTAGAGATAACCAACAAATAAACATTTTCTAAATTATATCTGAGGTCAGAGGACCTCATTTTTGAAAATACTTTGACTACCATATACTTGTTTTATAGCTTGCATAAAATATGGATAAGTCATGGCAGGAGACATAGTACAGGGGTTAAGGCACTTGCTTTGTACATGGCTGGGTTGATCTGGGTTCAGTCCTTGGAACCCATTTTTGTCCCCTAAGTCTATCAGGAGTATTTCCTGAGCTAAGAGCTGGGAGTAAAACCTGAGCACTGATGGATGTGGTCCCAAAACAAACAAAAAAAGATATAGCTTTTCATGTAAAGAATTATCTCTGCTCTTGAGAAGACTCTTTTTGAGTTATACCTTGTCCCTTTACAAATGAACCACAAAATAATATTTTTGTCACTTGAATTTTTATATAAATATATTTTATTGTAGTACTGATTTTATACTTGCAGCAGAGTACCTTTTAAAATATTTTATATATAAAATTTTTACATAAATTTATTTTATAGTAGTACTGATTTTATGGACTCTGTGCCAGGTTGTTTTCACTCGGGGTGCCCAGAGTTTGGTGGGTGAGAGCCTTCTCCACCCCAAGGGACCTAGCTTCGACAGTTGACCCCCACTACCCAACCACTGCCATGTTCCAGGCAGCTTTCCAGATGCTCAGGTCGAGCTTCACATGTGATTGAACATATTTCTGGACATATCATAAGACACTCCATAGCCATTTCCATACTTACCACAGCATATTTGATGGGGTTCAGACAATAGGCAACAAATCATAGAGGGAAATATATATATACATATATTTATATATGTATATATACTGGTTTTGGCATATTGAATACGCCATGGACAGCTTCCCAGGCTTTGCTGTGCGGGCGGGATATTCTTGGTAGCTTGCCAGGCTCTCCAATAGGGATAGAGGCTTTTAGGGCAGCCTCTAATCACCCTTACAGGTGTTCCCAGGGTTCAAACCATATTTGAACCCCATCAAATATGGCGCGGTAATCTTGGAAGATAGGTATTAAGTGTCTTATGATGTGTTGCGCAGCATCCTGGGCATGACAGCAGCTAGGTAGTGGAGGTAGTGGAGGTCTGCCGATGAGGTATTTATCTGGTACCGGTAGGGTGGGTCTTCTGTGTGTATCCCATGGTTGCCGGAGATTGGTGGAAGCAGACAGGGCAGGGTAGGGTGGAGCTTCTGGGTTTAATTCCTGGGTCACTGGAGATTGGTGGGAGCAGGCAGAGGATCTCTGTTCCCAGGTCCCATTGAGACTGGAGTCCAAGGTCACAGAGTTCTGCTTACCTGGTTCTGTGGGGCTTCACTCGTGTGTGAGTCTCGGCCCACATGAGCATCTTCCAACATGGAAAGATGCCGTCATTGACAACATTGACGAAGAATAGATCAACTGATTCAGCACCTCTGTGATTGTGTGAGGAATGCCAAGAGAGAGATAGCCACAAAAAGACACCTGTCTTCGAAAACTCTTGAGCTCATTTGAAAACGTGGCTTGGTGCAAGCCTCAGGCAGCCCCAAGCGAACGTCCAAGCTCACAAAGCAGTGCAGAGAAGCCATCAAGGAAAGCCTTAAAGAGAGTACAGCAACAGTGCTGGCAGATGCGTCAGAAGCCAGGAAAAGCATTCGCCAAAAAAAAAAAAAGCATTTGCAATGCCCACCTGTCCTTTGCCAATTACAAGACCAAGATGACTGCCCTCTGACGTCCTGATGGATCTATCACATCTTCCAGAAGGGTTATGGAGAAGATTATCTATGACTTCTACTCAGATCTCTTCAATAGCAACGTCCACCTGCTCACATACCAAATTCTGCAGGATGGATATGTCATTCCCAATGTTCTCCCTTCTGAAATCCAACATACCATTTCCTGGGTAAAGAAATGAACAGCGCCTTGCCCAGACAAGGTCAGACCCGAACACCTGAAGAGTACTCATCAATACACTGGCTTTGCTCTTCACACGCTACCTGTCCGAATGCAAGGTTCTTTCCCAATGGAAAACTAGCAGGATTGTGCAATAGGGAGACATCCAGGACATTGGCAACTATCGCCCCATCTGCTTGTTTTCTGTCTTCTACAAGCTATTCACTTGAGTCATCCTGAATAGGATTGGCAGAACACTAGATGAAGGACAACCATGCAAGCAAGCCGGTTTCTGAAAAGGATTCTGCATGATTGACCATATCCACATGATAACCAAGCACATTGAGGTTTCTCGGGAGCTCAAGATGCCACTCTGTCTAACGTTCGTTGATTTAAAGAAGGCCTTTGATTCTGTTGAGACTGACGCGGTCATCAAGGCCCTAGCCAAATAGGGCGTTCAAACTCAATACATTAGCATCCTCTGTGAGCTGTATTACAGATTCACTACCAGGATCTCACCATTCACAAGGAAGAGACCATCCATGTCAAGAGAGGGGTTCAGCAGGGTGATTCCATTTCACTGAAACTCTTCAGTGCCACCCTTGATAACGTCATGTGACAGCTGGAATGGGAAGGAATGGGAGTGAAGATAGACTGTCGGCAACTACACCACCTCTGCTTCACTGATGACATCGTTCTAATAACATCAAACATTAGCCAATGGAACAAATGCTGGCCGACTTTGACCATGAGTGTGGAAAGCAGACTACCGCTGAATCTCAGGAAGACAATGTTTATGAGAAACGGTATCGTTCCTGACGTCCCATTTCCTCTCAATGGAACAAACATCTCCAAATGCAACAGTTATGTGTACCTAGGTCAAGAAGTCAACATGACGAATGACCTGGCACCTGAGTTGCCAGGTGGAGAAGAGAGCAGGAAGAGAGCAGCTTGGAACAACTTAAGAGCATCGAAGAACTAGCTAAGAGGATGAAGAACCTCTGGCTCTGGGCACATCTCTTCGATTCCACCATTCTTCCTGCATTAACATACACCTCAGAGACCTGGGGCCTACGAAAACGGGATTAGAATGCTATTTGGGTCTCCCAAAGAGGAATCGAAAGAGCTATGCTTGGAGTATCACGCTTCACTCAAGTGAGAGAAAGAATCAGGAGTTGCGACCTCTGTTGAAGGTCGATAATTAGGGACGCTGTCTCGTTTGCCAAGGCATAGAAAATCAGATGGGCTATACGTGTTATGTGATTTGGAGACAACTGCTGGACTAGAGCCATTACCGACTGGATTCCACAGGACGTCAAAAGATTGCGTGTTCGCCCCCCTACGAGATGGTCATACTTCTTTGTCTGAACTGAACGATCAATTTGAGGCTCTTCGTGTTCCTAGAATGAGCAGACGCCAGTGGACTACACTAGCACATAACAGGGACATATGGAGACGTTACTGGTGCCCTCTCGAGCAAATCGATGTCAAGTGATCAAGTGTTCATTGATGTATATATATATATATTTCTCTCATATGTATGTATATACAAATATGGGAAATATGTATGTATATGTAATATATTCATTATATGTATATAATATACGCATATGAATATATAATATATAGAATATATACATGCATATCTAATATATTATATTTATATATATATGCTTCTCGGAGAGCCTGGCAAGCTACTGAGAGTA